AGAATTAAACTGAGGGTTAAGCCTATGCCTAGGTTCAAGGTTGAGGTTAGGGTCAGGATTGTGTTAAGAATTAAGGCTTGGCTTCATACTTAGGGTAGGGTTTAGGTTTAGGGTAGGGTTAGCATTAAAGCCCACAGTTTAGTTTTATGTTAGGATTAACATAAGGAATTATTTACCATACCGGCAGTACAGGTACTACCTAAAAGCCCAGACACGTGTTTCAACGGTAGCCTGCCTCGGCTTGACGCAACTTCGGGGGGTTCGGCCGATCCGTGGGCCCCAAAACCTTCTCAGACATTCTGCCCAGTGAGGTACCTTCTTTACGGTACCTTGGTGTTACTCTGACATCTGATTTTTCATTTACTCTTCATATTGAAACCTTCTTCGTTAAACTTCGTTAACTTTGTATATTATATCCGTCGGTTGCGTTCATATCACACACACACACACCTCAAGCTCTAATCTGACGATTTATAGATGCCTGCACTCTTCCCCTCATTCTCTACTGCTCTTCGGTAATTTTTTTAGTCTTGCTTAAAAAAAAACTTGTTGGTTTTTAAACATCTCCTTCGAATGCTCTCTTCAGCTGCCGGTGTTTCTTTTGCCTTTTTAACTCACATTATAACCCAGCGACACTTTAAAACGGTCAGGCAAGTTGCTGATCGCATCCTTGATGAGGGTGCGCACCCATTTCATTCTAAAATTGATGTCTGCGAAGTCTCCCCACACTATGCGCCGAAGTTTCCAACATATGTGCTGCCATAAATCGGCGTATTAGCACTCTGTACGTCCATTCCTTGCATGATACTTTACGTGCAAAGAAACGGAAGTGCAGAAGTTGAGATGCGTCTCCAGAATAGATGTGGATTTCATGTAAAAACCGCTAGATTTTGAGTAGTTTATTAACTTATCCCATGGTCTCAGTGAATTAAGCCATTTTCTGCTGAAAATGTTGGATGTTCAAAATAAAGCGTATTTCCCTCTTTTAGACACAAGTATATTTGCCTTCCCTGAAATTTATCGCAAAGCCACCTATTTTTAGTGAGGCAGAGCGTTGCTATATGCATATCTTGTTTAGGTGGCCATAAAAGTCATCCCTACCGAATTTTTGAAGTGGCTATGACAAGAAATCCAAACATTTCTTAGTGAACGATATCTTCTAGGTTTATCTACTCTACACATCGTTTACGTTAGGAGCAAAGATGATTTCTATGTAGTTACAGGCAAGAAAATTCTAGAGTTCGCACCGAGAGGGACTGCTGTGTCGTTCATATGACACAGTGCTGGAGTTAATTTGTACTCTTTGAAGCACTGCTGATTCTGGCAGTGTCCTATTGCACCAAATAAATCTAGAACATAGATCTAACATCCTAAAGTTTGCAATCTGGCCAGTCTTTCTGTCGTCGTACGCACATGTTACCTTGCTGAAAGTAATTAGGCTCGGCGAAAAAACAGTGCATATGTTAGGAGAGGTTTGGCAGATTTGAAAAATGTAATAGACCCAGTTGTGCAAATTTCGTGGTCTCGGTGGGGTTCGAACACACGAAGCCGGATTAAAGCCGGCCCTGCTGATGGGGGTTCGAATCCCATCGAGGCTACGAAGTTCTCACAAGTGAGTCAATTGAAAGTGTATTTTACAACTTACTTCTTAACACAGCTGCGTACAGAGACACAGGCACCGCTGGACTCAGCTAGACCGAGTACTTTGGTCTGATCCATGTTCATTTCGCCGGGAACTGACTGGACAAGTTGGCCGGAACCGGGTAAATCGATCAACGTGAACCCACTGCCCAGGCAACGCAACTTCTTAATGGCTCTGACTACATCATCCTGACTGGCTTCAGCTTGTCGTGAACCCCTATTCCTGTTCACAGCTTCGATGAGTTCAGAAAGCGGCATGAGGCCGCCTGTCTGGCGCTGATTCGCCATACAAACCTAAAGTAGAAATGGAAAAACACGCGTTAACTA